CCTTCTTTGAAGTTGGTGCCACCTGTTTAGCGGAGTCCCGATGTGAATCCCGGTGTTTCATGGATTTTGTCACTGGAATCTCAACCTTTTAACTCGATCAACGTCGACGTCGAGGTGGTGAGGGAGACGGGGAAGAAGAGGAGGCACAGATGTACCCGACTCTTCTGCATTTGTCATAACTTTCGACCTAGAAGTCAACATCAAAGTCATAGTTACAGTACAGGCGACGACCATTTCTGCGTCCAACGTCTACATAAATGGGATCATCATAATCAGATCAAGCTTGGTGTCGTGAGGCTCAAGAAAGCACGACCACTTCTTGACGTGATGAATGATGTCGAGGCGGAGAGATGTGCTTTCTTTTATCTGTTCTTTTATATCCTGGCATGAGGACTCCTTCAAGTTTGACAGCCTTACAACTGTCACCTGCCCGGTAGATACAGGGCTAGAATGGGTAGAAGCCTGGCTGGAGGCAATCTCAGCCTGAATACAGCTCGGACTCAGCAAATGGCTAGGTATTGCCACCAAAGCCTGAGTCATATGATGACGAATGGAAGTCACTGTCTGAGATAGATTTGGTGTCAGGCTGGTCTCTAGAGGACTCTTCCAATATCGGTGACAGCAGTAACGCCGAGACTGGGGGCAACGGGGCCGATCCTTCGAGGAAGGCTTGTCTTGCTTATCTTTCTTGTGCTTAACTGAAGACTTATTTTTCTTTATTGTCCCAACAGGTGCATGCTTCGAGTCGACACCGAAGTAGAGGTCGAAGATTTCTTCAACACTGACCCTGACGTTCTTTTAATTGACTTCGTCAGAGACCTCGGAGATGGAGCAGCTGGTAAGGATGACGCAGGGGGTTCGGGACGAGGAGTAGACGCTTGGGCTGGAATAGACTCCATGGATAGTGTAGAGGGGGAAAGGGACTTACCCCAAAGCCTATGCTCACACAACTTTAGGGCAGGCTTGGAGAGCTTCCTGCACTGAGGGCAAGCCTGGGGTTGATGTCTGTCCCCTAAACAGTAAAGACAGCACTCATGGCTGTCAGTAAATGGTATCTTGGTGGCACAGGAGATACAGCGCTTGAATGGGCCTGAGGAGGCCATAAACTAGTCAAACTCCAGAGAGAAACGATTGAGAAGAAATAAACTCATGGATCGGTGTGAAGCTCGAAAACAATAACAGAGCGGGAATGCCGATTGAATAGAGTAAGCAAGTCCAGAGATCTCTAATCAAAAGGTGAAACCAGGACAATCCGAAGTCAAGCCATGTAAATTCTATGAATGAAGCAATTTGTCCGTGAAGAAAAGGTGGGAAATGGTAAACAGTCCGTGATCAAGCCGGGAAACAATGTGCAATAAAATCCGAAAGGCAAAAATCGTAGTAAAAGGTAGTCCATAATCAAAATCATGGAGAGAATAAAACAAAAGAATCGATATCCAGATCAGTCGTAACAAAAAATTTCAAAGCTCTAGCAAAGAAGTTCCAATCGCAGTGGTGGTAAAATGGAACTAAGGTGCACGGGCGGGTGGAGCATGCGTGGTAGGAGACAACATGCTACTAATCTTTCTTATTTTAAGCTCTAGAATATTCCAAGGATCCAGCGCAAGTGCAGTTTAAACCCAATTGTGTGGATTCACAGAGGCCACGTAGAAGAATCTTTAGCTTTGTTTAGATAGACATTTTAAACATCCAATCTGTGGACAGAATAACAGATAACAAGACTGCTCTGTTTCAGCAAATACACCCCCTTAATCTTCTCTTTTCTAGGTTAAACATACCCAGCTCTTTTAACCTTTCCTCATGGGATATGGTTTCCACACTCATCATCATCCTGGTATGCTCCTATTTGCAAATGTTATTCTAAAATGTTCTGGAACACTTAGATATTGAAACATCACTCCAGTAGTGTAGAACGGAATACGAACAGATTTGCAAAGCATACCACTCTTTCCATATTCTGATGTTCCCTCACCAAAAACATCCTTTGCTCCTGAGAGCTTCCAGACCTTTGCTTCTCCTGTGTTTTACAAACTCTCTTCCAGAATAAAGATGGAGTGACATTGTCAACATTTGCAATTAGCTAGTTTGGAATACAAATTTGTCTAGTTCACAAAGCTCACATGACAACAAGGACAAAAGCTTATATTCTCCCCAAAGCCCTAGGAGTGTAAAAAGATATAGCGCTCCTTCTTCCCTCACATAAAAAATCATTCGAAATTGCCAAAGCCTTTAAGCGGAGTATCACACAACCTGGAAACTATCTTGAGATATGCTGGGCATTATGCATAACTCAAATATTTCCTAATGTCCTGCATTAGGGAATTTATATTTCCCCAGATCCTCCAATACCAACAATGCTGCTATTGCAACAGGAGAAAAAGGAAAGCATCTCAGAGAAATGGCTAATTTGAATGCAATTCCAAATCAGTCTTCCAGGCTTCACCTACCATTATTTACAAGTTTTGGAACCAGTGGAGAAGGGGTTTTTATCTTTCTTTTCTTGCTGGTGGAAACAGTGACTATTGCTAACAGAAATATTTTGTGTACCCTCAAGGTACTTTACATATGTTACAATTAGAGAAGGGCACAAATTAAAACATGAATTGACACATTTGTTCAAAAATTGCTACCATATTTTTGCTCCATAAGACGCACTTTTCCCCCAATAGAGGGGGGGGGGAGTACATGCGTCTTATGGAGCGAATACAGTAAAAAAAGGGCTCCGCCACCACCACCCAGAAGCCTCCCACTGCAATGCTGGGAGGCCTCTGAATTGGCACCAGAGGCTGCTTGCTGTGGCAGCCACAGTGGACCCCACCACTCTGCCATCTGCACTGCTGGCTTTCTAGTATCTGCCTCCTAGAAAACCAGCAGGTCCAGCAGGCCAATGGCAGCAAATTTAAATGGCAGAGGGCAGTGAAAATAGCCAAGGACCAAAGGGGAAAGAGTAAGTCAAAATCGGGTTCAATGCTTTCCAATGGGGGAGAAAAAATTCACCAAAAATTAATGAAGAGTCAGAACAAAGCCAAATTAAGTTTGCACATGTTTTAGAAGGTGCACTAACGATCCCAACCATTTAAAACCGTTTTGAACCTTTTAAGACACACTTAAAATTGCAAAAATGGACATCGCAAAACCATTGGAATGCATTGAATAGGCTTCAATGCATTCCAATGGGGGAAACATTGTATCGCTTAGCGATGGTTCCTATGGCCATTTTCGCTTAAGGACGGTAATCCGTTCCCATTGGAACGGATTAACCGGTTTTCAATGCATCTCTATGGGAAAACGTGTTTCGCTTAGCGATGTTTTCCCATAGCGATGTTTTTTTGGAACCAATTAACATCGTTAAGCGAGGCACCACTGCAATTTGTCAATTCATCTTCGTCAGAGTATGACTATGAATATATGATTTTTTGGCAATTTTAAGTGTCTTTATTCACTTTCAATCCATTTTTGCACCATTCCTGCCCCCCCCCCAGGCCATCTGCAGCCTGCTCCTGGGAGGGACCTAGTGATCCCTTGATTGCTTTTCAAAGGGCTGTGGGGGAGTTGCTTGTTAAGAAGATGCTTTCTAAACACTTTCACTGCAACCATTTCCCATTTCTGCTCCAAGTTCTTGCTCTGGGTGGTTGAGTTGCTGCCTGTGTTCTCTTTAGCAAGGCAGTAGTTACTCATTCACACAGTTATAGTGAGCAAAGCACAACACCTTTATTTCATTCTTTGAAACTGTGGGACTTTGGGGACTTTGTTTCCTTTTAATTTGTTGAGGTTACGCTTTGGGTAGGGTGGGTGATCTCAATTTCTGTGTATTTTATCCTTATCCCCTTGAATCCCTGTGTTTTTGGGTGGGGGTGGGGGGACTGGGTAGTTTTCCTGGATATCCCCCCCCCTGTTTTTCTTCTTTAAAAAAATAATTTTCTTCCTACCTCAAACTCACCCATTTTGTTGGCTCCAGGTTCTGGGTCACGGTGGGCACCTTGAGATGTTTATTCAACTCTCCCCACACCATCCTGTTTCTCTCCTCTGAAGATCTAACCTTCTTTTTAAAATATTATTTTATGAGACCAGCCCAGTTAATTTTTACTTTTATTTGTGAGCCATCAGCTGGAGAGTCCTGCCCTCCCTCTATGACTCCATACAGGAGGTGGTCCGTAACCAGCTGGGATGGGCACACAGCCAGCCATAAGGTAGACTTTATGGCCAATCTGTTGAGCAGAGGTTACCATAGGTACCTGTCACTCATGCCCACTGCCTCAGTTTCCCCGCCAGTCATTCCACTAACCCAGGGGAAGAAAGAATCCTGTCTAAACACAACCCATCTACACTTTGTGGGTGTATAACTCAGACATCCAAGCCCCGAATGTCACCAAACTTGGAGGGTTTGTACAGGTGAGCCAGGGAAACTTTCTCTGCTCCTATGGTGTCTTTAGATACCTGGGGAGCACTTTCCTAGGTGGCCCCTCATTGTGGGTGTGTAAGTGGGATATCTGAAACCCAAGCTTGCAAGGCTTTTAGAGAAGTGTCATAGGAAGCTTCTCTGCTCTTTTGGTGTGTCTAGGTGCGTGGGGGGATTTTAAAGTGCTTTAAAGGCAAGAGGAATCAATTCATTGATTTGTCAGAGAAAATTCATGGTTCGTTGACCTTAAATTATGAATCACGATGAATCACATTTTTTCTAATTTGTGTCCATCTCTAGTTACGATGGTGTAATACTTACAACAACTTGTAAAGTAAATCACTACTGTTGTACGTTGTGTTATAGTTAAGGATAAATGAGGATGACCTCCCTAATGCTTCCTTCCCAGTTCACTCCTAGTCTGATGGTAATTTTCCAAGAGTGCATCTCCCCCAAAACATGATTTTGACACACTGCTTCACAGTTAAGGATAAATGAGGATGAGCTCCCTAATGCTTCCTTCCCGGTTCACTCCTAGTCTGATGGTAATTTTCCCAAAACATGATTTTGACACACTGCTTCATTATTCTATGACTCTTACCGTTTCCCAATGTTTAACAAGTTGCCCACCATCCGCTGTAGGACTTCCTTTGCAGTTGCTATGCCATAAAACTCTTCAGTCACATGATGTCCAATCAAGTACTCACACTCTTTCACTGTGAGCTGTTTTCCCTTTCCAAAAGCATCGATGTAAACATAGTCAAAGATATTTGTGCTTCTGAAGAAAATGTCAAGAATACGGAAGCTAAGTGGAAGGTTTTACCCAATGCACACAATTTTTGCTCCTAGTTCCTCTCACAGAATGACATTCCAGATTTGGGGTGCTACCACAGAAAAGGCTCTGTTATCTGTAAATAAGAATACTTCTCCTACTGATGGTACCTGGAGAAGAGGCTCCTCTGAAGATCTTTATGCAGGAGGAAAGATGATACCAATTTGACTGAGTACTTGTGCAGGTGAGTATACATCCTTTTCTACATCAACCTGCTCTTTCCTCTGCTGGAAGGCATGGGAAAGATACACGAAAGATACAGATGACTGTTCCTTTCTCTTCAGTACAAACATTTACAATCCTGTTCACCCACACCCCCAACTTTCGAGTTTTGAAACAACATAATTGAAGCCATATCTCAGTATTGTTCCAACAACTCAGGAACAACTATATAATGGAACAAAGATCCCATTTATATTTTGTCTAATCTTAATTTTGACTTACCTGTTAATTTGTTATTTTGTATATGCCTAATAAAGGTTTCTGAACTGAAACAACATAATTGAAGCCTTATCTCAGTATTGTTCCAACAATAATGCCATTTGAAAGTCTCAGTGGCTAACTGGTAAACTGTGAAGACACTCTTTATGTGAGCATCAGTGTCCAGAAATAATTTTGTATGAAAAATATTGACACAAGAGGGATCTAGACAAAAGGGCATTTAATGTTTTAGGACCCTGCCACTTATTAATGCCAGACTCCTATGATTTTCCCATCTTGCAACACAATGTTCTCTGAGTGAATTTATACTGTTACATTCATGCATTACTAGCTCTCTATTAATAAGACTGTACAGTGGTGCCCCGCATGACGACGATAATCCGTCCCATTGAAATTGCTGTTTAGCGAAACCATCGTCTAACGAAAACTGTTTCCCCATTGGAATGCATTGAAACCCGTTTAATGCGTTCCAATGGGGAAAAATCCTCATCATACTGTGAAGATCGCCCATAGGGAAGCCATTTTGTGAAGCGCCAATCAGCTGTTAAAAAGGCTGCCTTGCAAAGCATTGGTCCCGAAAACACTTGATTGCGAAGTGCCGATCAGTGGCAAAATCTGGTCCCAAAAACACTTGACTGCGAAGTTCCGATCAGTGGCAAAATCATCGTCTTGCAAAAATCAGTTTGCGAAGCAGGGACCCAAACACTGTCCAACAAAAATCGCCCATTGGAATCACTGTTTTGCGAATCGCTATAGCGGATTCGTAGTTTTGTGAGGTCGTCTTCTAGCGAGGTACCACTGTACTTCAATGTACATAGCTGACTGCAATATGGCTAGCAGCATTTTAAAACTGAATGCAACTTAAAACGATGTGAACGTAACAAAGAAAAACAAACAAACATTCAACAAACACAGCAACAAACACACTCTATCATGACTTCATCATCTGGCAATAGTTGAGCTACGAAAGGCACCATGGGATGCTTAACTACCTTGGTGCCTTAATCTTTAATCTGCTCAAAATACAGCTTCTCAGTGGAAAGAGAAAGAGCCAAGAAGAACTTAAAAAGCTTACCCTTCTGTCCCTTGGCACCATCTGAGCAGAAAATGACTGGGAAAGTTGACTGGCTCAAGCTGAACACCCAACTGCCTGGCAATTGTCAAATAAAGCACTGACAAACTGATCGGGATTCCAGTTCTGTGAATTAAAACCTTTTTTAAAAAAAGATCAACAGTGAGAAGCTTATTACTGTTAGCCCTTTGAAATGAGATTAGTTTGTTTCCCTAAAAATAGGATAATTAATTTGTAGCACTGAACACAAACCTTTCCTCTGTTTCTAAGAAAAATATAAAAGCCACTGTGCAACATGGGATACTTTACCATATAACATCTCTTCAGGCCCAAACAACCACAAAACTGAAAAATTAGTCAATATGCAGCTCACTTGTTCAGTTTGACTTGTTTATGAGACACTTCTTTACCTGGCGAATATATGAATTCAGAGAATTGTAGTAATCCACCTCATTCCCCTTGTATTTTAATTGCTCGTAAAGGACATAGTTGATGGCATCAAGAACTTGTCTCTGCAGCTCTACCTGAGAGATGATCAAGTCTTCTCCTAAAACATGGCAAGAACAATTACATAAGTAGGTACAGAAGAGAGTTCATATTATAAATCATAAATTTGTTTGTCCTGAATCAACTGCCAATTCTATTTTTTTATTTTGTCATTCCAGTATTACCTGAGAGGTAGAAAGAAAAAATAGTCTCTCCTTAAGTTTTTGGACCCCTTCTTCTCCCATCCACGATTTCTTTGACCTTATTAATTTTTCAGTTCTCTGTATTCCTTTTGCTTCTCTTCTTTTTATGTGCCTTCTTTCCTAGGACTTACTGCTTATTCTATCCCTCTCTAGAATTAGTCAAGTACAACCAAGTGGCCATAGATCCTGTCTGCTTACTAAGCCAATCACCATCAGAAGATTCATCACAGAATCCTTTATCTTGTTACCAACCAAGTTATGAACATTTCTCACTTCTTATCACATAAAATAACACCAATGCCACAGAAAAGGTTGACAATAAAAACGTTGAGTGCTGCACCTGCTTTGGGAGTCACACTTGGATGTCTGGAGTTTTTAGATTTCAGATATTTACGCACTTTAGCAACAATGTCATCCACTTGGGCCCAAACAGTCTCCAGGCATATGTCTGACAAGGGGTTGCAATACTGATCAATCAAGACAGCCCCTAGAAGAAGTAGAGACCCAGTATGAAGATTTTTCCTTTTTAAAATTTTCACACCACTAATAAAAGAATTATTTTGATACTAACATGACTATGTTGCATATGCATCTCATGTACATATTATAACTATTGTAAATTGGCTCTTCTTCAGACCCTTCAAAATTAATTTGTCCTTTGTTTTATTACTGTCACTTTTTTCAAGACTTTACCTTAAACAACTGGATAACTTATCTTGTAATACCAAACCTGGCTGGTGGCATGCTTAACGGACTTAAAATGTTGCCACCTAAGACCAAACAAGAGGTTTCTGTGAACATGAAACCTAAATGGGCTTTCAAATTAGGAGAAAAAGAAGTTTTACATACTTCTTATGTCTTCACCTCAAGGCTTGACAAGAACCCTTGAGCTCAAAGGATGTGTAGAATGTTGAAGAGATAGAAGGGGGTAGAGAATTCATGACTTGAGTTGCTAATAATAAATGTCCTGGAGGTATGAGGGGATATGGGCCATCAGAGTAAAAAGCTCCCAGCATTTTCTCTTTACAGTGGACCCTCGACTTACAGAATTAATCCGTATTGGAACGGTGGCTGCAGGTCAAAAAGTCTGTAGGTCAAGGCTCCATTGACCTACAAGGCATTGAAAGATTAATCCATAACCGTCCGGTTTTTGTTCCATTTTGGTTTTTTTTCCGGTCTGTAGGTTGATTCTCCGGCTGCAAGTCAAACCTAAATTCTGCGGCCAGAGAAGTCTGTAACTCGAAAAGTCTAAGTGGAGTCGTCTGTAAGTCGAGGGTCCACTATACCCTTTCCAGAAAAGTGACGGGCAAGATATGGCCCACAGGCCAAATAGTATTTGTGTGGCTTTCCATGCATTCCCTAAGAATTTTCTGCTCCTGGAGATGTCCAAGAGCAGCAGTTTTCATTTTGTGAGTCATGTCTTCTACAGTTTCCACCACCACCAATTATTATTATTATTATTTAAAAACAAAACGCAAAAGTCAATTTTCAGGCTCTCTCACACATTTGGCTCCCAGCTTCCCTGATATTGTCCGTTCCTGCTCTTGAACCATTACCGCAGATTACAGAAAAACTACAAAATCTCAGGCAACTCTTTCCAGCCTTACAACTCAATGTTGGAAACGGTATTGGAACAGAGGAAATTTAATTTTAAAAAAATTAATGTGCATAAGAAGTCAAGTTACTGATTACTCAAACTTTGCTCATTACTTCTATGCATAAAGTTCAGATCCAGGTACAAGGTCTCATGGAGTCACCTTAGAAAAGGAATAAGTACTCATTATCTAGTCCTCTAACTAACCTTCCAAAAAGGACTGTTCATCAACTGGACGTTTAAGATAGGCCTTCAGTTTCTTTAAAATATTTTGTTGTCGCAGGAAGTAAAGAATTTTCTTTGCATAGTACTTCCATGTCAGGCCTTTCCTGCAGAACAAGGATAAACAACCATTGTGGTGAACAAGTACCTACATGTCTCTTGGATGAATGGAAAACAACAGATCAAGAACACAAAAGGAATATCTTATATTAAATTCATAAGAAAGTATTGAGGCATTAGTGCCTGGGAAAAACTATGAGATACCAGATGGACAAAGCGGGATTGTTTTAAAATAGTTCAGCTAACTCTATTATTATAAATCAAATTTTGTCTTTAAAATACAATTCTATCTATGATTGCAAAGTATAAAAAGTGTACAGAAAACTATGACATCATTCAAATATCTTAAGGCGGTTTGAGTGTTTCCCCATCATTACCCACTAATAATCATACTGAAGATATACAAAAATAGTTATAATATGAAAAAGAGATTTCAGCATGCTAGAAAGAAAAAAGGGCATTAAAAGGCCAACTTCTTTTGGATTTTGTACAGAAACTGGCTATATATGAATAATAAAGAAGAATTTTTTCAGTGAAATTGCTATTAAAAAAACCAGGAGGCAATTCTATAGCAGAAATATGATATACTAGATAAGAATGCTATGTGGAGAAATGAAAGCAAAATCTAGATTATAGAATCATAGAATAAGGGAGTTAGAAGAGGCTCAAAAGGCACTGAGTTCAACTCCCTGCTCAGTGCAGGAATCCAAATCAAAATATATCTGACAGATGGTTGTCTAATTTTCCCTTGAATGCCTCAAGTGTCGGAGCAATCACCACATTCTAAGGCAACTGATTCAATTCTCGTAATACAGTGGTGCCTCGCATAGCGACGATAATCAGTGCAGCAAAAATCGCTGCAAAGCGATTTCGTCACTATGCGATATTAAAAAGCCCATAGGAATGTATTGAAACCCCTTCAATGTGTTCCTATGGGCTTCAGACTCATCTTTAAGCGAAAATCCTCCACACGGCAGCCATTTTCACTGCCCAGTAAGCGAGGAATCCGTCCCAGAAAACAGCGGGCGGCCATTTTTTTACCCAGCGGCCATTTTGGAACCGCCAATCAGCTGTTAACAAATCATCGCTTTGCGATGATCGGTAAGCGAAACAGGGTACCGATAATCACAAAGTGATTTTCCCCATTTAAAACAGCGCAATGCGATTGCTTTTGCGATCGCAAAATCTTCATCGTTATGCGATTTCGTCGTTAAACGGGGTGCCCATTAAGCGGGGCACCACTGTACTCTAACAGTTAGGATGTTTTTCCTGATATTCAACTGAAAGCTGGCTTCTTGTAACTTAAGCCTACAATTATATTTTATACTCTCTGTGATTATTGAGATCCACCTCTTCCTCAGCATGACAATCTTTCAAGTATTTAAAAAGAGCTGTCATATCTCTGCCTAAATCTTCTTTTCTCAAGGCTAAACGTGCCCAGTTCTTTCAGTCTTTTCTCATAGAGCTCGGTTTCCACTACACACAGAGAAGACACAGAGTGGAATTTCTAAGGGATTAAACAACAACAATGAATATGATGATGATAAACGAAGAACATATATGTGAGTCAAAGATCCAAACTTTGAAACTACTTTCTTGGGAGCACGATCCCACTTCATCAGATGATAATAGAAAGACTATTTATTAGAATTTGCAAGTGAAAATCAATCTACATTAAATGAAAGTCCCACAGCACAGGGATGCATGGCTTGAGATACCACTATGCAGACAGCACCCCAAGTACCTCCTGAATGATAATTTTGATAAGCAACAATTGAACCCATAGCTTAAATTAGAATGGTCTTCTCAGTAGCTGCTCCCAGGCTTTGGAATGTGCTGCCCCAAGAAGCTAGGTTAACCTTCCTCTTTCTTCTTCTTCCATTGTCAGGCAAAGATCTTCCTTTTCAGTCAGACTTTTAAGCAGTAAGAATCTCAGGAATGCTATGTTTATTACACTTAGAAATTTTAAATATTTTAAAAATATTTTAAATTTGCTTTTAATCCTGGTTTTAATGTTGATATAGGTTTAACTGTTTTTAATATGGTATTTATATGGTATTCTAAAATTGTTGATTGCTGTATAGTTTTAGCTATTGTGAACCACCTTGGGTCCTCCATGGCGGTAAAAGCAGCATATTTATTTATTTAGGCTGAAACTGAAGAATTCATTAGAATGCACAATCCAATACCAATTGTCTGCACCAGATACGAACCGAAATCAATTATGAAGCAAGTGATGTATGCCAGTCATGAATCTAAAGAAACAATTCATCATGAATGCCCTAAACTAGCATCAACAGATCATATGCATAGTAACAAAAATAGAAATATCATTTTTAGCACTTGCTTAAACCTTATGGATTACTCATATTTTTCCTCCATACTATAAATTCCAGCCACCATCAATTTTAGAATATGGAACCACAATAATATACTACTGAAGCTAATTTGAAATTAAATTGTACTGCTGGAACAATAGATATACAATCTGTAATGTTCTTATTGAAACACAGAAAAAAAAACAGTTCTTTAAAAAATAAGCTAATTATACTTTTGGATAAGCAACCAAAAATACACCTTACAAAAGGTGGAGATCCATCTACAAGTAATCTCAAACTATAGAAAGAAGCGCAAAGTACCAAAGATTAAGGTGAGAAACTAAAAGATTATGGAAAACAAATCAGAGTGTCCTCCTCCCCATACTAATTTCAACAGCCAAAATCTTTTGTTCACAATTCAAACAACTGCTAATAGCTTCTACTCTGCTCCCTGATTTTAAGAAATTGGTTATTTTGCAAATACGTTATCTTACTTACAAATTTTTAGGACTGCTTCTAATTTTTACGTTTGACCCTTTGGTCCACCAGCATGCACTAGAAATAAGAAGTGCAATGTAATAGCAACTTCACTCACAACAATGACAACATCAGCCACAATATCAGGAGTTACGGAAGAAACAACGCACTGCACAGACTGTCTAAATGATGGGCAATAGACTAACAGTTACTAACAGCTCCAGCCTCCTCCCAGCAAGAGATTCCTCTGAAAGTGAATAAAATGCGACCCCTTTCGGTTCCTTTGCCAGAGGACTGGCTACTCTGCACTCAGTTGCCCTCTAGAAGGCTATAAACACTTGGACAATTTATGGGCCTCTTAATTTTTTTTAAAGACTCACATTTTATTAAAATGAAATAATTCATTTTGAAAAGAAAAGAAATAAAACTTTCAGTTTAGATCACATGCTATAGCAGCCATCATCTTAGAAGCATCATCTCACTGGAACATCTCTGCTACTGCTCCTTAATGAGATTTGGTGAGGTGGTGTGGACTAGGACTGGGAAGACTGAGGTTCAAACCACCCCTTCAGCATTACAATATGTAAATATCATGCAACCCAGCATGTATATGTTGTGTACATATAAGAATGAATGAGCTGTATCATTCACATAAGAGAATATGTTTAGCCAATTAGATTGTTTAGTGCTTAGAGGGTTAACTGTCAGATATATTTTAAAAAGTTAAAGTTAGTATGAAGCTTTTCTGTTGATTTGGGTTTTTTTCAGTTACATTGTCTCCTGTTTGTATGTATCTAATTAGTTTGTAACAGTTAGTAAAGAACATGTTGGAAAAGTGGTAAGTATCGATTATGAAACTGTAATAAGAAGTCTGCCGTGTACAAACCAAATCTATATCAAGTCAAATGATATTGACAACAATGACAACAATGATTCATTGTTAGCTTATTCTTCACTATATATTTAAAGTAAATGTTCTTAAAATATTACTATGACTGAATGATTTTATCTGCTGGAACACACATCTATAACAAGGGAGAATATTATTCATGATCTGTGTGGTTTTTTTTTAAACTCATGCTTAATCAGCTATGTTCAAACTCAAAAAAACCCTCAATTCACTGCATAACCTTATGTAAGTTACTCTGTATCTATGTTACATGTATGTATGTATGTATGTATGGATTAAGCATAACAGTCAAAAGTGTGATCTAGTTCTACTGGATGGCAAATAAAATCCAGGTATTTAACACACTGTGAAATTATGCAACATGTATGTGATTTTCTGCTCTTAGCTCCTCCAATTCACTCACCTTCCCTCCATATTAAGGACTGACATTAGTTCATCCTCAAAGAAATGGCTTGGACATCCAAGAGTTTCAATATCACTGAAGCCATCACAAGGGACCTAGCAAAAAACAAATTTTTACTGTTAAGAAGTTTTCTACAATTAGCTAGGAAATTTTCAAACACACTTTTGTACACTGAATAACAAAAATGTCACAGAGAGGACGTAGCTGACTATGTGATGATGCCACACAGCTAAGCAGGTTTGGCGGTTTGAAAAAGTCAAACAAAGCCACGTAAAAGTCTAAAGCAACCAGCCAATAATTGCCGGGGCAGAAGAGTTAGCTGTTTTTGAAACCGCCAAAACTGTCAGTGAAAGCTCCTCTTCATTTAATTCATTTTTAATTTACTCAAGTGTCAAGGGGACCCCAATCCCAAGCAACGAAATATTGATTGTTCTGGGTTTTTCGGGCTCTTTGGCCGTGTTCTGAAGGTTGTTCTTCCTGACGTTTCGCCAGTCTCTGTGGCTGGCATCTTCAGAGGATAGCAACCTGCTGTGGCTAGCATCTTCAGAGGATAGCAACCTGTGCTTTGGTGTAGTTGGCTTGGGAGTGCAGTATTTATGGCTGTGAGATAGGCTTTTGTCTTTTTTTGTAGATGGGTGATTAGTGTGTATTGTTGTGGGTGTACTGTTGTGCTAAGGGGAAGAAATTATCTGTTCCTGTGGTTGATGGGTGTCATTAGCTGGTCCTTTGTGTGTAGTGATCCCCTGTCCTTGTGGGTGGGTAGAGTTTGTTGACATTGAAACTGTGCTTGTACTTGTGGATTTCAATGGCTTCCCTGTGCAGTAATGATTGCTGGTGTTGTCCAGTATTTCAGTATTTTGAAATAGAATTTCATGTCCAGTTTGCTTCAGGGCATGTTCAGCTACTCCAGATTTTTCTGGTTGTTTTAGTCTGCAGTGTCTCTCATGTTCTTTGATTCTGGTGTGGATGCTTCGTTTTGTGGCCGTGAAAGCCTTCGCGAATATATTCAACGAAGTATTTCTTGCTGGCCCAGACATATCACATAGTAGGTCTGGATGCTAATTAGAGCAATTGCTAATTTGCAACAACAAATTTAAGACAATAAATACAATGGACCCTCGACTGACTGAATTAATCCGTATTGGAACTGTGGCTGCAGGTCGAAAATTCCATAGGTCGAGGGTCCATTTCCCATAGGAATGCATTGAAAACCATTTACAGTGGTGCCTCGCTAGACAGTTACCCCACATGACAGTTTTTTCGCTAGATATTGACTTTTTGCGATCGCTATAGCGATTCACAAAACAGTGATTCCTATGGGGGAATTTCGCTGAACAATGTTTGGTCCCTGCTTCGCAAACCAATTTTGACAGCTCCCTCCATGCTCGCAAAACGGGTGTTTTTGGAACCTAAGCTTTGCAAGACAGCTATTTAAACAGCTGATCGGTGGTTCGCAAAGCGGCTTTCCTATGGCCAATCTTCGCTAGACAACGACTATTCTTCCCCATTGAAACTCATTAAACAGGTTTCAATGCATTCCAATGGGGAAATGCTTTTCGCTAGACTATGATTTTGCTAAGCAGTGATTTCAGTGGAACAGATTATCATTGTCTAGTGAGGCACCACTGTAATCTGTTCCAGCCTTCTGTCCCCACTGTCCTCTGCCTCCCATCCCCGCGGGGGTGAGTGGCTTTCGGGTGGATTGGCTTTCGGGGCTTAGAAAGGTGCACCCACTGGCTTCTTGTCTCCCGTGCCCTCTGCCTCCTGTCCACAGGGGACAGGAGACAAGAGGGCAGCGGGGGCTGCTTTGAATTTCCCACCCTTTCCCCCGCCTTTCGTGGGTCGAAGCTCCAGCTGCAAGTCGAAATAATTTTGCAGCCTGAACTTTTCGTATCTCAAAATTTCCGTAAGTAGGGACCTTCGTAAGTTGAAGGTGGACTTACGAAGGTCCACTGTATTGATAGGTGAACATAGGTATGTACTGGCAGATATCTCCTTGGGGTAATCCTGTATTACTTCACAAGGGCCCTGAGGGATGCTTGTCTTCAATACTCAACTTCTACCATGGAAACTCAGGGCCCAATAGCTTTCTTAGCTCCTTTGTGCTCATACAGTATCTCTAACAGCCAAGACTATCACATGAAGTGAGAGCCCTCCAGCGATGAAGGTCTTAACGGCGGAGAGAATATCTTTGGTCAAAGAGTCCTCTAAGGTGTGAGGTTGTGCGTGCACAACTCTGCCTCCTTCTGCACAGTTTTCCACCTCCTCCACACAGTCCCTTTGTTTCTGGTGGAGTCCTCTAAGGTGTGTGGTTGTGCGTGCATGACTCTGCCTCCTTCTGCACAGTTTTCCTCCTCCTCCACACAGTCCCTTTGTTTCTGGTTGCAATGGAATCTCGTGGGGGGGGGCAGAGTCGCACACGCATGCAAGGGAGAAGTCACACGTGTGAGAGGCTGAGCTCCACCCAGCGAGGCTGAAAATTAGAGGGTACATTGTCTGTGGTATTCTAGAAGACTCAGATAGGGCCTCATCAAGTAGATGAGCTCAGAATACAACTGGGTCCAGAAACTGTGCAGCAGGGCATTGTGTAGTGATGCACGAATCTGTACATCTCCTGCCCCAAGGAGACTTTCTATGAGAGACAGCTCAAACCGTCCTACACTCTCCTTTCCAAAACCCTCAATGATCCTGATTCTCCTCTTGCACCTTCTACTTCATATCCCGCCTCCCTGCAAGCCATGCCTCCATCCTCCAGCATTCACCAACTGCTGGGTCATTACCCAGGCCAATTGATGCCCTGTGTTTCTGCAGTGTCTGGGTATTTTGGCTTCTTCGTGACTGCCCCAGGCCTGCCGTTCATCTTTATTTAGTGGCAGCAGCACTTGGATGTGGCAAAGCAATATGGCTGGACAGAGGTAGGGACCATCCATCCTACTCATAAACGGTTATCAGACAAATGTTCAGTACATGGGTGTTAACGGTCTTCCAAAAGAAAATATAAGGTCCCAAAGAGGGATTTTTGCCAATTGTTCCTCTTGCATCACACAGTTCTGTGTTCTAAAAGGTCCTGCAACCCTCAGATTTTCAGAATGTAGAAGGAGCTAAAGAAAGGCAGAAAATCCTTGCCCAAAAATGCACCTTAGGATGTCCTTTATACAAGGTATTAACAGCACAGCTATAAGAACATGGTAAGAAAACAAAAATAAGACAGGTCTCCTGTAACAAGAGATGACTGTTGTTTGATGAATTAGAAATCTTACATGCTCTGAAAAGAACCTTTCTGAAAAGGACGCTACAATTCTTCGTGCTTCCACACCAGCTTTATGCCGTTCTTTGTATTCCTCTAGCCAATTCACAGTATCAGCCTGGTTATAGTGTTTCATTAGGGATGGCCACCTGAGAGACACAGAAGTAAAAACATGGGGATTACTTTTCAAGTCTTCAAATAGTAAATCAAAATACAGTGGTGCCTCACATAGCCATCGCTCCGTATAGCGATGAAATCGCTTTGCGATGGACTTTTTGTTTTGCCAAGAGTGATCGCTTTGCGATGGACCCTATGGGGAAATTTCGCTTTGCGATGATCGCAGGGAAGCGATCATCGCAAAGCCCCCATTTTAGGCCAGCTGATCGGCGGTTCCAAAATGGCCGCCGGGTAAACAAAATGGCCGCCCGCTGTTTTGCTTCGCTTTAGAGGCACCAAAATGGCCGCCGCAATGGAGGATTTTCACATAAGGTTAGTTTTTAAGCCCATAGGAATGCATTAAATGCGTTTCAATGCATTTCTATCGGCTTTTTAAAATCGCTTAGTGGTGAAATCGCTTAGCAGCGATTTTTGCTGCACCGATTAACATCGCTAAGCGAGGTACCACTGTATGAACAAGCTAATTTCCTGACTGGTGAAAAGTTCACTCATTCCCTGACATTATCAGACATTCAAGGAACTTCTTCCCGGTAGAGAGGAAATGACTTTCGCATGCACGCCTATGCACGTGCGCACACAGACAGACAGACAGACAGACAGACAGACAGACAGACAGACAGACAGACAGACAGACGGGGAAAATTTTCAACAGACAGACAGACAGACAGACAGACAGACAGACAGACAGACAGACAGACAGACAGACAGACAGACAGACAGACAGACAGACAGACAGACAGACAGACAGACAGACAGACAGACAGACAGACAGACAGACAGACAGACAGACAGACAGACAGACAGACAGACAGACAGACAGACAGACAGACAGACAGACAGACAGACAGACAGACAGACAGACAGACAGACAGACAGACAGACAGACAGACAGACAGACAGACAGACAGACAGACAGACAGACAGACAGACAGACAGACAGACAGACAGACAGACAGACAGACAGACAGACAGACAGACAGACAGACAGACAGACAGACAGACAGACAGACAGACAGACAGACAGACAGACAGACAGACAGACAGACAGACAGACAGACAGACAGACAGACAGACAGACAGACAGACAGACAGACAGACAGACAGACAGACAGACAGACAGACAGACAGACAGACAGACAGACAGACAGACAGACAGACAGACAGACAGACAGACAGACAGACAGACAGACAGACAGACAGACAGACAGACAGACAGACAGACAGACAGACAGACAGACAGACAGACAGACAGACAGACAGACAGACAGACAGACAGACAGACAGACAGACAGACAGACAGACAGACAGACAGACAGACAGACAGACAGACAGACAGACAGACAGACAGACAGACAGACAGACAGACAGACAGACAGACAGAC